TAAAATTATTATACTATTATTAGGAAAAATATATTGAGCGTGCCCGTATACATTGGATGCGAATCCACGTGCGAACAATGCATCTTATTGGTTGTTTTATACAGTCAACGTTGACTCTAGGAATATCTTATTGGTTAGAATTTTTAGCGGCGTATTTCTTTGAAGCGGCGGCTTCTTTGGCGGCATATTTCTTTGTAGCGGCCGCCACTTGCGAATCAGTTTCGACTGGAAAGACAGTGCAGTAGATAGTTTTTACAAATTTGATTCCTATTTGGGTTGTATCGTGCCTCATGTTTTATTTTATAAAACTGTTTTAATAAATTTCCCTTACTCCGCCGGTGCTTCATAAAGAAAACGTCGACGGCCAAAGGAATATTATTTTTTTTACTGTCTCATTTGACTATCGATAGACTATACCTTGCTCGCCACAAAAGCCGCTTGGCAAGCTGGGTTTGAAACCTCCTCAGAAAAATTCGTAAGAATTTCCAATTGCTTAGGTACCACCTTTTTGTCGGGATATCTACGTAAATACGCTTACGATTTATCAGTTTAACATATTTTTTTCAACAATAAACAAAACAGAGTAACTTTCCGATTTCGATCGGCCCTGTTTCCAAGGATGAACATATCTCCTGATGTGGACGACTTCCTATTGATGGAGTTCACATCCCAATTTCTGGCTGAATATGCGGGTGATAAATACTATATCGTATGATATACAATGAAAGTTTAAAATGTCTAAATCAGTATATACCATCGTCACCAAAAGTAACTGGGACACAGCACACATTAGCTCTTGTCCTATTATATGAATTTTATTGTCAAATATTTGTCAAACAATGCATCAAATGCATTGAAATGAATGACAGTAGAATTAGTCCAGGAGATTATTATACATTTTTTGTGTCCCAGTTACTTTTGGTGATGATGGTACCTGTGTTTCTAATATGAAAAAATTATCAAGCAAATATTTGTTGACATTTCCTATTGTTTCAGACTAAAAATGCCGGGGTTACATTATGTTTTCATTGTAAAAACGCACTGTCACAAAGTTACCCTGCAGCACGGGGTAAAATTGGGACAATTTCAAATTAAAAAAAGGCTGAATTATCATTATTTTTTCAATTTTCTAAAATCGCCAGTCTGTAGCGAAAGAACGGATATAGGTACATGGTGTATTTTTTTTTTTCAGAATTTTATATGGCAAAGAAATGTTCGAGAATTTCAAAAAACCCTAAAACATGTCACAAAGTATCCCCGTTTTACGGTACCTCTAGAAAAGTACTACAGAGATTCCAAATTACAAGATTCCAGTTGCAGATTGTAGTTACTTTCAATTTAACGATTTAAAATTTATCTAGTATATTGAGTACAAATGCCCAGTATTTGAATTACTTTTTTTGTAAATCCAAGTACCAAATATAAATACTTTATTAAAAGTATTTGCAGATTCAAGTACAAATATCCAAAAACAAAAGTATTTGAACTATAGTACTTCAAATACTAAAAAGTAATTGAAATACATTTTCCAAGTAATTTACTTGAAGTACTGACAGCTCTGCGTATAATGTACCGGGTGTTTTTTTTATCTTTGATATCATTTTGATCACCTGTAACTTTTTGTTTTTGACATTATCAAAAAAAAACAAAATGTAGAGTTAGTAGTCAAGTTTTTTTTCAAGTTACACGTAAAACAAAACACTATCAATTTTTTAACATATACTTAAGCTTACATTATATTTTTTTAAATGGAACACCCTGTATATTATATGTGTATTTGATAGAATATTTTATTCTGATTACAATGATATAACACACTTCATATTATGGTCCACTCGTTTTTGACAAATCGGCAAAAATATGAAGTGAAACTTATTAGACAGGAGTCTGATATTTGGGACGAGAATTATTAAGACTATTGAGAGTGTATACAGTGAGCACGTAAAGGTTGAAATAAAATCTATAAAATATACAGGGTTGATATTTTTCAATAAACCTCGGACACAATTTTTGATTTTATTGGCCGTTTTTTTGATGATAATACCATATATACAGGGTGTCCCAAAAACAAGTTATGACAGCTAACTTTATTTTTTTTAAATGAAAACACCAATTTTTTATTTTATTTTCAAATTCTACGTCAAAATCTGAACAGATTTCATGCATCATGTTCTATACCTATCTTCAACTGTTTCGGAAATATTGATTGTTGAAAATTGACTTTTTTGCAAATTTGACAGGCTGTAGAATTTAAACGGTTAATTTTAGAGCAAAACCGATCATACATTTTTGTCTTAGTTTTCCATAAACTATCATTTGGCACCAACTTTGAATTTAACCGGAGATTAAATTTAGCCGGAATTTTTAACCATGGATTAAATTCAAAGTTGGTGTCAAATGATAGTTTATGGAAAACTAAGGTAGAATGTATGATCGGTTTTGCTCTAAAATTAACTGTTTAGGTTCTACAGCCTGTCAAAGTTGCAAAAAAGTCAATTTTCAACTGTTAATATTTCCGAAACAGTTGAAGATAGGTATAGATCATGATGCATGAAATATGTTCAGAATTTAACGTAGAATTTGAAAATGAAATAAAAAATGGGTGTTTTCATTAAAAAAAATTAAGTTAGCTGTCATAACTTGTTTTTGAGTCACCCTGTATACATGGTATTATCATCAAAAAAACGGCCACTAAAATATGATGTGTATTATATCATTGTAATCAGAACAAGATATTCTATCGAACATACATATAATATATAGGGTGTTATATTAAAAAAAAATATAATGTAGGCTTATATGTCAAAAAATTGATAGTGTTTTGTTTCATATGTAACTTGAAAGAAAACTTGGCTACTATCCCTACAATTACAGGTGATCAAAATGATATCAAAGATAAAAAAACACCTGGTACAGGGTCTGTTCCTGATAATTAGTGGGGCTTCTACAGCCTAAACAAAAAAATAAAATGAAAAATAGTTAAATACAAAAGTTGTGAAATCTGTTTTTTTTTTTAAAGATAAAAGTCAAAATGACATTATGTTGGCAATACAATGTTAAATTTTCAATGCTTTTAATTTTTTTATGTAGAAAAGGCTTATGTTGCTAACATAGTTACTAAATTTTTGACTGGCAGCTTAATGATATGTCCCTCAACATTGATTAGTGTTGTATAACCCATAAGGTTTCGTTTCAATATTGCTTAAATAAGGTTCGCTTGTCTGAAGTTTCTGTTATCAAACATCTTGGTGTTTATCTATATAGATACTAGGTTAACTTCCACTGAGCATTTTGAAGTGGAATTTGGCAGGGCTAATAGAATGTTGAGTTTTATTAAGAGAGCTACTAGGGACTTTACAAGTATAACCCCATTAAAATTCTTCACACATCACTAGTCGGATCCGTTTTTGAATTTTCATGCATAGTTTGGTCACCTTACTATCAGATCCACATCAAAAGGTTTGAGAGTGTTCAACACAAATTTATCGAGTTTGCAAGATACAAACTTTCTCTGAGTGGTTTGATTCCCATCAGGGATGACCAGACTTTGCCTTACTCAGACTTAACTACTCTTGTTCGCAAAAGGGATTACTTTGATGTCTGATTTGCTGTCAATATATCTTTAACTACTACACAAAAAGCCACGAATGTCTTGAATGTTTTTATCTACACACTCAAAGTTATTGGATTCCAAATCATTCTTTACTGTCGAATTTGGTACTTACTATTCAGTCCTGTTAATAGAATCTCTGCCAATGTGCATGAGTTCTATGAGGGTCTTGAGTTTTTTAGTCTATCTCAAGATAAATTTAAGACACAGGTCAAGAGAATTTAAGCTAGATTATTTTAGATTTAAACTCTATACAACTTGACAATGAATTTATTTTTTCTTATATGTAAATAAATGATTAAATATGATCGGTTATAATAAAAGACTTGCTCAATGAGAAAATCTTTTTTTTTTTCAATGCTGAAAACTAAATCGTCCTGCTGAAAAAATGGTAGCTTGAATATTGGCATTAAAAATGTCAGCAAATAAAATCTTTATCCTCATTGAAAACTTCATAATAAAAATTATTTAGTTTTTCTAACCAAACATTAATATATTACTTCGAATAGAATTCCTTGTGTGATAATATTTCCCAGACTTTTTTTATTATTGTTAATTAAAAGTTAAAAGTCCTAAAATTATTCAATTAAATTTGATTTATTATATCAGCAAAAGCTTATCCGTGACTTTATTAGATTTCACCATAATAAGCTGCACCTGGTAGTTTATCAGCGAATTTGATTAGTCAGTCTTTTTCAAATGAAAATTGACTTTGTTGAATTTTATATACGTCGCAACTTAATGAATGAGGCCTTTGTATTACTTTACTTATCGTTGATAAGGTTTCTTTAGTTTGAACCTGACTCACCAACAAAAATAAACTAGTTTTAAATTGGCGCAACAATATTACAGACGAATTTTGTATTACAATAAATATTTGAGAAGTTACTAAACCCTTTACGCTCTGGTAACCTGTATGTATTTTTCATTGATGCCTACCTACTGTTTAGTAGCAAATCACAATTTATTTAGAGATTTAAGAAAAAATCTATCAAAGGATTCTTATTTGAATCATCTGAAATGCCTTATAGTAATTTTCATGCTCCTCTGGTTTTAATTTTAACTCTGGATAAGGCGATTATGAAATTCTGAAGCCGATTGAATTTCAGCTTCATTAGAATTGAGCTTTTTAAGCAGCTCTGACCAACTCAAAAATCAGAGTTTTATACATCGATGGGTCAATTTTGGCTCTCATTAAAGATTATAGCTGAATCTTGTTAAGTTTTCATGGCCAGAAATTAAAGTTCACTTATGTTTTTTCAAACTGCTCTATATCAATTTTAATTCTAAAGCAGAACCATCAAAAGCTTATAAAAGACTAAAACAGGAAATTGCAAGAAGCCATTCAAATTTATTATTCCATTACATTAAAATTTTTGATTTATTAAAGCGAAACCATGTCCCAGTATCCAGAATACAAACCCCCATTCAAACCAGAAACACATTGGAAGAAACCATGTCAAGTCCCAGGTAAATATTTGAAAAACATCTTGTTTGCTTTTTCTAAAATTAAAAATCATTCCTATTAGTATTCTATCACAAACCTACAGCAAACGCACCGACGCCCTTTCAGTGCGCTGTTCGCACAATTCCAGCAAAGCAACATTCAAAAAATCATCAAATTTCGACGTTTCCGTTCGCCCTCTGTACGAAGACGGTTTGCAATCTGACCGTAGATTTATGTACGAGGTTCTACGAAAACGTAAACAGGGTATCGATAATATGACCGAGGATTTGGCTTTGGCCATTATAAAGAAATATTACAATGAAATTGGAAAATGTAACCATTATCTTATAGACAAACTTGATATGATGATGAATGAAAAATCTTTGGTTGAAGACAAAACGGAGGAATTTGACTATGAGAAACAGAATGTGCACATTGAGGTGAGTGGAGCAATAATTCAAATGCATTGTAATGTAAAGTAAATACATGTAGTTTTTTTTTTTTAAATAAAGGAAACGCCTGAACCCAATTATGAGCCAGATTACGATTCGGATCTGGAACTGGAACCGGACCTGGAACCCGAACCCACCGCCGAACCTGAACGCGAACCGGAATACAAGGAAACTCTGGTCTGCGGTCGTATTGTCTCCGATTCCAATGGAAAAATCAATAGTCAATCGATTTTATTGGAAGAAACGGCTAAACTTAATGGAAACTGTTACTCGTTGAATTTATCCAAATTGCCCAAGTATTCGTTGTTTTGTGGACAAGTGGTTGTTGTCAAGGGGGAAAGCTTGAAGAAAACGAATAGGAATATATTGCTTGCCGAAGAAATTTATACTGATACTGATTTTAAGTTGCCACAGGAGCCACCATTAATAAGAGGTAAGAGAATAAAATATTATCTTGTTTGAATTTGCATTGACAATGAAATAGTTTTTTCTAAAAGTGATTAATAGCATTTCAACAATATTTTACGTATTTTTTCAATCAAAATCGAGTCAACATAGTGTGAATGATAATGTCACGCTTAGGTTGTTTGTGGTGAGCGGTGCCACCACTTTATCTACACTTGGCTTGCATTGGCTAAGGGTTTATTCTGAAGAGATTATGGGGGAAAGGAAAATTTCACCACTAGGGGCGCGTTCACAGTGGTTTTCCCTGGGTAAAACTTAACCAGGTTAAATATTTCACTGGTTGAAAAGGATGCGCTTGGGATGACAAATCCGTGAACGACAAACGCCTGCGCCATAACGAGGTAGGATTTGATTTTGTTTTCCTTTTGTTTACATATCGTCGTTAATTTCACTAATGGGCGTATATTGAATTTATTAATTTTTCAGGACAAGCATTTGATTTTTTCAATAAATTTGAAAGCTTATGAGTCAAAAACCAAAATAGATATTAAAATGTCTTTTGGTGTACTTACAGGCTATTAAGTGGTATTTGGAATACTGTTCATAAAAGTAGAATACTTTCATTTTTAGTCTGAAAATTTTGAAAAAAATACATTTACGCCACTTTGCAAAATTTTATTTTTGCACGTTTCACATACGCCTCCCAAAATAAGTCATATACTGCCCTTTGTACAGGTTTGTCAACTATTTTTTTTTTATACTCTCTGGTTTGTAGTTTAATGGCAACAAGGTAGAGTGGTTGGAATTTTTAAAAAACACATCTGCCTAAATTAGAATACATTTTTATTGCATAATATTAAAATTAATAAAATTTTGATTGTATTATGTTTTGCTGCTAAGAATAAACTTTACGAATCAAACTTAATATAAATAAACGGTTGACTCATGGCCGTTTCCACCAACTATTTTAGGGGAAACATAACGATAAGTATTCCCTAAAATGACATTTTTTCATGGACAAATGTCAGTTTAAGGCATACCTATCGTTAGGGCTTCTCTACTCTCTACTACTATACCTAATTATGATTTTGCCTCATTGCCGACTACTGGCTTGTTTAAATCATTTTTTTCTTATAGTTTGATTGGCAAATTCGATTCCTCATCACTAGAATAATCACTATATGGTAATGTAGCTGACGTATCATCATAGTCCTCATTTTTCTCTACAGCTATGACAGATCCACAATACCATTTTTTTTTTCATACCTACCACATTTTCACATAACTGCCTTCTTTTAGAGTTTTATTTTTGCCCAAAACCACTATCTGTCGCGAATCCACAATATTTTGTGTGCTGCCTGTCCATTTAATTAGAACATCCATCTTTGTTTGTTTGAAAAGCAATAAAAACACAAACCAAAACACGAACAAGTGCAGTAAATTGACTGACTAATGTCTTCCGATATGAGCTAAATTTTAGTTTAAAACAGGTTTGGTGCGCGTCAGCAAAAAGGCGTATGTATTACTATATACGCCAACGCGAGCTTCAAGGTCATCTCTAAAAAAAAAATATTTCAGGCGTATATGATATACGCCTTTTAGGAAGATACATATTTCTTGTTTCAAAACATACGTCTAAAAGAAAAATGTGTATAACTCAGAAACTACTGGCAGTTCATATGCGCCAATTAGAGGGCGTATAATTTTGATGTTTTGCGACATAAATTCCCTGAAAACGAAAAATCGCTTATTTCTCATATACGTCCCTTTGTCAAATTAACGACGATATGTTGTGTTTCGAATGTTTCGAGATGGATCCGGGAATAATATTTTTTAAAAGTACTATTGAAACAAGTCAGCTATGTTGTAGCACAAGCTGCATGTGCTAGCACAAGCTGCATGTGCTAGCGCTAGCAGTTTATGTTCAAGCCTGAAAAAAGGCATATTGAAAGACAGGATAATTTTATGGCAACAATACGCAATTATAGCGATAAGGAGTTTCAGGAAAATTTTAGAGTTTCCAAAGAAGCTTTCAAATGGCTTCCTGGAAAACTTGAAAACCAGTTGAAGTCAGCAATGCTTGGCCCAGAAAGATTACCAACAGTATTGTTTATCAAATTTCAAATATTCTTGTAAAACGCCTGCGCGACAAATTTTACCCATGTCTCAGAGTGGGTTAAAAAGTTGTACAACCGGGTAAACTTATCATGGCTCTGTGAACGGAGCAAATATTTTAACCGGGTGAATTAGGTAGATCCGTGAACGACTTAACCCTGCAAAAGACGCGCTCGGTGTGCACTCGGTGAGCGTCCGGCGTTCGACTGTGAACGCACTCTAGTAGTTAATATATCTATTGTTACACCTTAATTTATGTAGGAGACGATTAAATAGGGTTTACTAAAAATACTAATCCAAACTAACCCTAACTACCCTATGAAAATGTACCCTCGAGGAGCTTAGTTTCTATAGGTCTAGGTTTGGGGCATTGAGTGGGGCTTCTACAGCATGACATTCACCTTAGAATCTCAGTCGTACTGTAGCAAGTCACACCCAACTTGGAGACAAAGTTTTTAGGCCTGTAACCTCGAGGAGCTTAAGGGTGTGAAAACTAACCTCTGCCTGACTGCATTGCGGTGCGGGTAATTTATATAAGAATTATTGCTACCATCAAAAGTCAGTTAATTTTCTGTAGTACAAGCGCCAAATTCATTTTATTTTTATAGTCTGTGGGCTTGTAGACATTTATGAGTTGACATTTGCCCCCCTGTGAAAGCATTGGTCCCAGCAAGTGAAAGAACATCATGTGCTTACAATTTAAAAAAAAAATGTAAAAATCCTTAAAATTACAGCTTTTTCTTGGTTTTGCCATTATTGCTTCTCCTGAACGAGCCGAGAAGGTCAATCACCACTTTGCCCATAACGCATCCCACTTTTATTGGTTGCAGAGGACCTGGAATTTTTCTTTAAGGTTATTCTTTCCGTGTTTGGCAGTCTACGCGTCCTTTTATGTACTTTTTGATATCTTTCAACATCCCTACCCAGTAGTATATATTTCTACATTTATCAATTGTTTTGCTTAGTCCTAGATGTGCTGCGGTTGGTGCCGCATGCATTTCCCACAGTATCTCCCCTATTAGGGCCAAATTATGGACCAACTGATAAGTGTCTGGTTGTTACCTAGCAGGTACTTTAGTGCATAGAAAGTACCTGCTAGGTAACAACCAGACGTTTACCAGTCAGTCCATAATTTGGCCCTTAGACTTTTTGGGATGACTAGTAAGTTTTCTAATCCTTTGTTTGTATCAATGACCTATTGACACAGTGTGTTAATAGCAAACACTTATCCGAACTCCGCTTCGCGTCGTTCGTATAACTGTGTTTGCGTGCGGAAAAGTAACACTTTGCGCACTTGTTAGGAAAATAACTATTTCGCAATAACTTTTTTTTCGAGTTTGTTCCAACAAAAATATTGGTTGCTGGTTCTAAGAAATGGCTTTACATCTATATTTGAACTATGCCTACCCCAAATATATCTGGTAGTTGGGCTTCAATTATTATTCCCTGAAGAACCTCTGGTTTGCTTTTCTCGAAATAGCCGTAACATTTTATTATTTCCTATTAGGGAATCCAAACCACGTGACTTTTGCCAACCAGCGGGCATTTTGAAATTTTTATGAGGTTAGAATACGGGTTTTTACATGTCAACGATGTCAGAAAAGTGTCAGATTTGAGAACTCGTCCCATGTATTGTTAAAGCCTGGTACTCATAAAAGCGAAATTCGCTCTTTGACATTGCTTTGACAATTTGACGTTTGATTCACGCATGAAACATCAAATTGTCGAAGCAATGTAAAAAGAGCGAATTTCGCGGTTAGGCTTAATCCTGCCAAAAAAAAAAAAACATATGTTTTTTGTTTATTGTTTGCCAACCAGACGCCATTTGAACAGGTCGTTGGATTGCCTAATTATAAATTTGACAATGCCGAATTTTGAAAAATGTCAATCGATTTTGCAGGTATGCAGAATAGTAGGGTACCTACTGTGTATATATTGCACTATTGAAAAATATACTGACAAATGTGTCAAATTTGATTGGCCAAATAGGCCAGAGAATTTTAATACTGCGACACTTACGAAATTATGTGAAACAGACTTGAAACTGTCTGGAATTTGACATATACTGTCATAATTATACGAGGGTCAACCTGCCAAAGGACATGGCACTAAATATTAGAATCCTGGTGATCGGTCGATTTTTTTAAAACTTCAGTATGTTATTCTATACCTGAAAACAAGCATTTTTGCTTATGGTCACTTCTTTGTACGAGTATGGGATGTCCCAGAAAATTAAGTCCAAAGTTTTTATATGGAAGATTTTGTTTGAAGCATAAACTATCTATCTGTTATGTATTTTTGCAACTTATACATTAAAGACAAAGATATTTGTATAGTTAAGAACAAAAATTATTATACAGGGTGTCTCAACAATTTTATTTTAAACCAAACTACACTCTAAAGAAAGCCAATAACCACAATAACGGTTAAAAAAATTGAGTTCAAAATTTTTATATTAAATGTTTGATGTATCGGTTTAGTGATTTTGAATATGTATTGGTCTGTTGTATTAACAACACAGTTAGGGCCAGTTTCACAAACATTTGTAACTTAACGGTAAACACAAGACACTGGTAACCTACAATATATCTGTTTCATGATGTGTGGTTTAGCCAAAACCTTTGGTCAAGCTTCGGAATATTCCATGTAGTCAACCCGCAAATATGAGTCCGATAGCCAGTGCAGGTTACCACCAATTGTGAAACTGGGCCTATATGGCATATTTTTGTATTTGTTGATCTATTTCTACAGTATTAAATCCAAATCGTTTCCAGGGAACAGCAGCTACTTCAAATAGTCTCTGGTGATCATTGTTACAATGTTTGTAGTTATTATTGATATTTAAGGTTATTATAGTTTTGTAGCAGTTGTTTTGGTTATTGGCTTTCTTTAGAGAGTAGTTTGGTTTAAAAT